ATATTTCAACAACTATTGACTATAATAAAATACTATAAGAAATCTACTAATAAAATAAATATTAACCTATTAAATAGTCAATTAAAACTAATAAAATAATCTATAAACTATGTAAAAATATTAGGAAAAATATAAAATATATATAGAGCTAAAAATAAATTCATACTATTATAGAAAAAAAAAAATTCTATTACACTATCAAGATTTATAATTAATACACAACATATTCTAATATTAATATAAACTCTTTTAAAATATAACCATTAAAACTAAATATACAAAAATTCATTTTTTAACAATATTCACCTTTACTAACAATTTTTTAAAAGTTACACAACCTTTTAATACTATACACTCTATTAACAAATGACTTTTACAAAGCTTTACTTTAATCACATGACTCTAATAAGTTTCTTGTTAAGAATAAAGTAATTTTAAGAATACCAATTAGCATTAGGAACTTGGATAGGTATAATCTTGAAGATGTTTTTATAATACAAAAAGAATTGCATATGTAGAAGGTTTAAATAGACAAGTCCTCTAGTTGACTTGCAGATATAACATCTAATATAAAACTTATATAGCAATGTGCTTTATATAATATTCTGACTCTTACCTAAGATTTTCTCCAATCTATCCTAGCTAAAAAATAATTATCTATAATACTCATTAGGAAATAAGAAGTGAAATGTCACATTGAGTGTCTAATTTAGCAACACAAATGTAATTTAGAAATCTTTATCTTAGGAATTTTTTTCTGTAATTAAATTTCTTATTGTATCTTAAAGTTTCTACTATGATATTATACAAATAAATAAAAAAATAATAATAATTAGTATTTGGTTAAGCAACTATATTACAATATATAAATTTTTAAAAATTTGCAATTAATTAAAAAAAAAAAAACTTTACAACTTTGTTTTTTAAATTTTAGGTTACTATTTTATAAAGAAACTTAACTTTATTTTTGATTTATAAATCAAACTTTAAATAAAAGCATTTAACAACTATCTAAGCAAATTCTACGAATCTTTTTTAAAAATAAGTCTATCGATGAATGTCGAGATATCTTCACTATTTAATAACTTTAATTTACCAACCTTCGAAGTTATCTTGGTAACTATCTAAGCAAATTCTTTAATTCTAAAGTTTTTAGATTTAAAATAAATTGAATTTGCTTAGATAGTTGTCGAAATATCTTCTACATTGCCTGCCGATAACAAAGATGTCATCTGTAAAAATTTTTTTCTACTACGACCAATCAGAAATTAGCACATTAAATTTATATATTGATTATCAAAAGAAAAAAGGCTTCCTCCTTTCCGAATTTAATATGGGTATGTTAACGTTTTCTGTTTAAATTACCAATACGTACAGAGTCTGTTTTAATTTTTTTTTTTTTTTTTTTTTATGGCATAGCCGTTGGCAAGGTAATATAATATAAATTAACTGTATTATGCGTAACAAAAATTAACTACGTGTTTTTCACAGAATAAACGACTTAGCAAAGGAAAAAAAGGGTTAAAAAAGAAAATGTAAGTTAGGACGAATGATGTTTAAGATGTTAAACTAAATTCCAATTTAATCTGTGATTCAATCAATTTATCAATTTTTCAAATATGAAGCGTTGATCCCTTTACCCGTAAAGAGTGGTATGATGTAAAAGCGCCATCCATTTTTGAAGTGAGAAATGTCGGTAAAACTCTCGTTAACCGCACACAAGGTCTAAGTAAGTATCAACCTTCATTGTTATGACGATCGATATTGAGACCTGAAATTAACACTAGTTAAATAGAAAACGCCAACGATGCTTTAAAGGGTCGCGTGTTTGAGGTGTCTTTGGCTGATTTGAACAAAGACGAAGAACAAGCCTTCCGAAAGATCAAACTCAGAGTTGATGAAGTACAAGGTAAAAACCTGTTGACCAATTTTCATGGTATGGACTTCACCTCTGATAAACTCCGGTCTCTCGTTAGGAAATGGCAGGTAAGTAATTCAATCTGATAATGATCACAAATTAATACGAAAAAACTGATAGGGCCAACTTATAAAACAATTTTAGTCTCTCATCGAAGCTCACGTCGATGTAAAGACTACTGATGGCTATTTGTTACGTCTTTTTGCTATCGCCTTTACTAGAAGACGACCAAATCAAGTTAGTAAGACTACATACGCTCAGTCCTCTCAAATTCGCCAAATTCGTAAGAAGATGTTTGATATTATGACACAACAAGCAACTTCTGTTGATTTGAAAGAATTGGTTTTGAAATTCGTGCCTGAGTCAATTGGTCGTGACATTGAAAAGGCTTGCCAAGGCATTTATCCTCTTCAAAATGTAAGCATATATCTTAAATTATAGTTTATCGAATGGCATCAATCTGTTTATCATTATAATATCTAATATCGTTATTAGGTATACATCCGTAAGGTCAAGATCCTTAAAAGTCCCAAATTTGATGTACAAAAGTTATTGGATTTACACGGTGATAATCTTGACACCGGTTCTAAAATGGGAGGGGGTAGAGAATTCAAAGAACCAGAAATTCAAGAATCTGTATAAGTAGTCCATATTAAAAAAAAATATATATACCAGACGTTTAAAAAAATGGCTTATGCTTAAAAAATAGATTCACAGTTCAGTGTAAAATTCGTTCTTGTGTATGCCTCATACTATTCCTGGAACGAACAGTAACACTTCCAGCTTGTATACTTTATTTTGAACCGATTTTTTAGTGATACTGTTATATGTACTATGAATTGCCGAATTATGTAGTTCTAAATAAAGTGATATAACAAATATGCGCATTATTCGAATGAATCACTAGCAAACTTGACTTTTGACGTATAAATATTCTAATTCAAGTCTTTAAATTGGTACATAGAATATATTCGAACAGACTTTTAATCATTTTATACACAATGTCACATGACAAATTTAATTACACACAGATATATATAATAGCATTGATAGTTTGAAATTGTTCTTTTTGTGATTGGAGTAGGGTGATTTGATAGTTTGATTTTGTCGGATGTATGATGATTTTTTTTTTTTTTAGAAAAAAGAAAAACTTTACAGACAATACTACTAACTAAAAAATTTCAAATATTAACTATATCAATAAACACGCGAAAATGTAAATAGTCTCAAAACTCAACCTCCAGACAATGAAAAAAATAAATGGTTCGTCCTTCATTATTCTCGACTATCAATCAATGAATATGGAAATTTCTGCCAACACCTTTCATTAAACTACTAATCATTTCAAAATTGCTCCAAATCCATCCTTTTTCGAATTGTAAAATTAATTTAGCTCTGATTCCAATATTGTTGCTGGTTACGTCCAGCTGCTTGATGATGTGCTTGATGTGGGTGATACTGGTGATGCGTCTGCTGATATTGGTAATTATTAAACATTTGTTGAGCTTGCTGCCCATAGTAATTAGGATTAGGCTGCTGCTGTTGTTGAGCTCCAGATTGCCCAACTCCAGCTTGTTGTGAACCGGCTGAAGCTTTGTCGGCATATCCCTTATACTGTGCTGGACTATTCAATTCAGAACTACCATTGTTGCTAGTTTTCCCGCTAGTAGAGTTTGATCCCGCAGATCCTGAAGTGGGTTGTGGATTATTACCTGCCGCGTTTCCCAAAAAATTAAGAGGTGGAATCCCGCCATAGGCTTTTGGATAATCATGAACGCCATGAACACCAGGTAGATGATGTATTTGCGCTGCAGTAATCTCGTCGTAGCCAGTATTTGAAGTGTGCGAATAGTGATGTGGAGTATTAGGCGTAGTAGGTGTTGTAGGATAACCATAAGGTGATGCACCTGAAGCGGATCCAGGTTTGGTCGAATGTGGATGATTATACATGGGATACATGGATTTATTTACAAAGGGTTGACCATACCCGGATTGCTGATATGCAGAAGGAAATTGGTTCGCCATATAATAGTATGGATAATACTGTACACTAAGCGGATATGCTTGTTGAGGGTTTTGACCCTGTTGTTGGTTTGTTGATTGTTGTTGTGTTCCAGCAGATTGCTGACTTGTTGTTTGATTAGATGAACTCGTAGTTGTATCAGGAGTATACTTATTATCTCCTCGTCCTTGATATCCAGCAGAAGTAACAGGGGATGCTTGGTTATACGCAGGGTCAGCAGCATAGTAACCCTAAAAATGCATGTATGAGTAAAATTTAGTAATACGATATGGTAAAATTGATAACAATTTCATGATCACTTACCATCATGCGCTGAGCATCAGGATACAGAGCACCATATTCTGGTAACGATTGAATTGGACCCATACTAAACCCTGACAGTTGCTGACTCGGCAGATAAGAACCGTAAGGAGCATTTAATGGTTCCGTAGCTAACCCTAAATGATGCTGTTGACTTAAATAGGCAGATGTTTGCTCCTGTTTAAAGTACGATGGATTGAAATTTTGGGGGGTAGGTGTCGGAGCAGCAGCATTCGAAGGTGTAGCAGACGGAACGTTGCCAGCGGACGACGGCAAAGCATTTTGTACTGATGTGGTTGGAATTGACCGATTTACGGAACCCGTTTGGGATAGTGAAGAAACAGATTGTGGCTGAACCTGTGACTGTTGCTGCAACTGTTGTTGAAGTAGTTGCTGCTGTTGTTGCTGTTGAATAGGCGTTGTAGTCTGAAGTGGTTGATGGGTTGACGTTTCTACTGCGACAGGTGATCGTTCTTCAGTCCTTTGAATAGGTGCCTCCGTTTCTGCGTTCTCTTCATTGGAATTTGATATGTTCAAACTTCCAAATTGCACACCAACCCTTTCTAAACCAGCCCCAGCACTTGGCATTACGACAGCTGCATCTTGCTTCAACTTACGATGGGGGGCTTGTTTAGTTTTATTAATTATACCAGGTGGTGTAATTTCCTTTGAGTGTGGTGAAAGATTTACAACTGGTGAAGATGTAGCAGGAGTAATTGCTGGTTGTTCTGGAGATGTAATTTCTTTGGATGACCCCTTGATCTCTTCTGTTTTAGCTGCTGCAACTACAGGCGCTGCTGACACTTCTTCTGGTGGAGAAGGTAAGCTGATAGGTTCAGGCATTTTAGGTGGTGGTGAAGGCTGTACAGGAATTGGTGATTTCGTTATTTTTGGAGATACAACTTTTATGTTCTCAGGTGAGCTTTTATGTATAGGAGGTGAGACGGGTTCAGGTTTTGGCTCCGGTTTCGACTCAGGTCTGTATGCACAATATGTAAATATTAAACATTGATTAATCTCTCCTTTTTATTTTTTTTTAAAATCTCTCTCGAGCATATATAATGCTATTTCATGATATTATTGAAAACACACTTCACAATTTGAGCCCAAGATGCCTTTGGCTGCGAAGGAATCGTCCGTGATATATTGGGAACTGGTGATCTTGTAGTCACAATAGATTTAGGTACTCCAGGATTAGGAGATCTCTGCACATCCCTAACTGTTTTACCATTTTTGATAGAATCAGTCCCCCGATTATCTTTGGAGGTCTCTGATGTCCAGTTATTTTCAGCATTCCAACTATTGTTGGAAGTTTCAGTGTCCCAGTTATTATTTTCTTTCACAAATGTGGATTTGTCGGCCTCCCGACTTAGGAAATTATCATTAACATTGTCGGATTTATTTTTATTATTAGCTGTCAATCCTCCAGAATTATTAATATTATCGCCATTCCGTCCACTATGATTATTTTCTGTAGAAACCTCGCTGGTCCAACTACTCTGACCTTTATCAGTAACAGAGTCATTATCCCAGCCGCCTTTAGTATTTTCCGCCGAATTATCACCCCATGAATTTTGAAATTGATTTTCAGCACTCCAGTCACTGGTAGCGATACTGTCATTGCCCCGGGCATTAAGACCTTTGGAATCAGAAGACCAGCTTTCGTTGGCGTCATTCCAATCGCCACCAGAACTGTCGTTATTACCCCAGTTATCAGCAACTAATTTTGCGTGAGCACCGTTGTTCGTGTCATCGTGATTAGCGGTGCTTGGCCCATTTTGTTGACGCGGAGGTCGAGTATAACCTAAAAAGAAAGCCAATAAACTTGAAATGAGTTAACCAAGGTAATTGACAATCTTGTTAATTGTGATAACATACCCGAACTGTTATCTCTCTTTGGTCCTCGAGAACGATCAGTATTTCTTCCACTACGAGATCCACCTTCTAAAATAAACACATAAGCATTTAATAACTAATTTACATAAACAGAAAGGTTAAAAATGCCCTACCACCACGAGTCCGACCACGATCATTATAACCACCTCTTTGGTGTCCGCGTTGAGCGTTGCCAGATTGTTGTCCGCCTGCCTTAGCTTTATTACTCTGTTCCTTTTTAGACTTACGAGATCTAACTTCACCCCATTGACTAGCATGACCTAAAAAAGATGCAAGTCATAATTTATAAGCTCGCGACTTTTAAATGAAAAAAAAGAGGAAAAAAAAGGTGCACATTTCTATTGTAAAGAATAAAAAAAATTTTCATCCTTAAATAATTTGGTAACCCATATACAGGAAGAAACGGTCGAAATTCAAATAATGAATTGTTGAAAACCCGCGTATTACACGATAGTGGGTTTTGTCATTCAATCAAGTCAAATAACTTTCAGTCAAATAACTTTCTGCCAGTAATAAGCTTAATGAATGCTTCAAAACAATTTTTCGCAAATAAAGTAATCTTGTAAGCCTCAATAAATTCATCCATAAAACTCAAGTAAATGGTTTTCACATCTGAAATATTATGACAAAACTAACAACAGGTTGTAAATTAAACTTACCCTCACTAACCCGAGTAATCGTAAGCTCAAGGTCGCCCTGAGCTTCTTGTAAAGCAAAGAGTAAATCTGCCTCCGTCCAATCAGCAAATAGCTCCTGTAATTTGGTCAATTCATCCTTATATTGAGATTTAAGATGTTTTTCTTCTTCTGTCTCTGCTATGTCTGTGGCGGTATGGCTACTCTTTACTGCCGGATTCGTTCGTTGTGTCTCGTGTTCGAATGAACCCATAGTTATAATTGATTTATGACGGTGAGGATGAAACTGACTTTACTCTTAACTATTTTTAATGTTTATATTTTATAGGAACCAAAAAATTTTTGGTCACGTATAAAAAGGGGGTTCTCGTGAATTGTCTCATCTGATCAATTTTGCAATCCTTCATTTTGATTTGCTAACGTATCGGTTTAAAAATCGTATCAGAAAATTTTTTTTAATATGGGGCCAAATGATCGACGCACCTAAATTTTGGGTATCAATTTGCGAAGTTGGAAGTTGGTCGTGTGATAATATGTAGCACTATAATTGGCTTACAATATGAGAATTTGTTAATTATTTTTTTATATATATATTTGACTTTAAGGGTAGGGGTAACGTAGATCATTTTTATATAGAAATGTATGGTATTTTAAAATTTTTATCTAAAATTGATATATGCTACTAATAAAACTTTTTTATTTTTTAATTAATTAATAAAAAAATTTTATAATATTATAGTATATATTACAAAGTTCTCTGAGGTTTTCTAAAATTTGTTAGAATTACACAAGATTATTAGATTTGATTGGTTAATTTACGTAATCTTATAAGTTAACTTAATTAATAATTTTTTATATCTAATCTTTAAAAAGTCATATCTTACTAAGTTTTTACTCAATATTAATGATTTTACTAATATTAGAATTAGAAAAACTTATTCTATAATTTTTTTTTATAAATTAAAATTAATTTGCTTAATATATTATTAGGTTTATATATAATTTTAAAATACTATTCTCTATACTTAAGCATTTATGCTAGTATTTTATTTTTTTTATTTTTTATTTTTTTTTAATCTTAAGCAGTTATGCTAATACTTTATTAAGATTCTTGAAACTATTTACATTTATAATTACATAGAATTTTCTAATACTTAAGTCTAGTATCACTTAGTTACCTTAGTGGTACTTAAGTGCAACTTGTTGTATTATCTCAGTTAGAAATAAACTACTCATCTAACTACTTATATAAAGTTATACCAGAAAAGTCTTTCCTCTTTTGTGACAAGCATATCAATTATCTTTTAAGTTTCTTTCTTTATTTGTTTATTTTTTCTATTTTCTTTCCTTTTTTTTTTTCTTTTATCACTTTATTATTTTTTGTTCTTTTCTCTGATCTTCTTTTAGTTTAAGTATTTTTTTTCATTTTGTTTGTTATATTAATCTTCTTTTTCTATTCTTGTATTTTTCTATATTGAACTCTTCATACTTGATTATAGAATATATTCTACACCATTCTTGTTACTATATCTATGTATTTTTGTATCATCTGTCTATCTAGAATCTAACTGATTCTTTTTCCAATCTTATTTGTTATTAATTTTTTTATTAAAACTATTCTGTTAATAATTTTCTTTGCTTTTGTTTTCTCAAATAGTGTTTCATATAGCACTAGAGGTGGGATTCTAACTTTTTTTTTTCTTTAAAACTGTTCCAAGCTGCTGCTATTGTTATTTTTTAGATTCTCTTTTACAAGCTTTTTTGTCTAATGCAGCTTGCCAAGTATGCTTGAGTTTTTTTCATCTTTTTAACATATATGGCATTTTGTTATTGTATATATTTATAGTCTTCTTTTATTTAATTCTTCTAGTATTGGTAGGTTATCCATTATGCATTTAATTATTGTTGCTCTTCTTGTACTAAGTTTTCTTGTTATACAATATACACTCTTTGTTTTATTCATCTCTTTTTAAAAGCTTGACTAATTATATTGAGTGTTCTTAGTTTCTAACTTTAATGTTCAAATTTGGTTTGTTTCTTTCCAATTTGCTTCAATTCTGGTATTTATGACTATTTTACAAAGAAGTCTTGTTGATAGATCAACTTTCTTGTTTTTTTATTCTAAGTAGTATTCTATTCTGTCACACTTGATCTTCTTTACAAATATTATCCTTTTACATATTGCTTTGTTTTTTGCAAATAGATCTGCTCTGTTATTCCACTTATCATTAATATAACTTTTAACTTTAACTAGTTCTATTCTATTGTTTTTGCTTTTAAGTAGACTTACAATATTCATTATCCATATTGTATTTTTCTTTTTTAAGACTTTGTTATCTCCAATTACTTGAATTGCTTCATTAATATGTCTTAATGCTACTAGGCTATCTGTATGCACTTCTATACACTTACTCTTTGATATAGTTAGAATTGTTAACTATATTGCTACTAATTCTGCTATTGTTGCTAAGAGCTAACCTTCAAGTTCTAGTATCTTTTCTTTCTCTGGCCAGTTTTTCCTGTTGCTAACCTGCACTCAACCAATGCCCATCTTTTTTATACTACTTTTCTCTTTCTCTTTATATAATGCTCCACCTATATAAAGAATATTTTTGTTTTTGTTTTTTTTCTTGTTTCTTGTTAGAACTTCTATTATATAGTCTGTAACTTTATTGTCAAATTTTTGTTTCTTAATTAATTTTGTTTCTAAATCTTCTACTTGTTTTAGTTCAATTAAACTTCTTTTTTCTTTTCTTATTCTTTCATTGTTCTATTTTCTAGCATTTGTTCTAATGTTGTATTAATTTTGTTACTGTCTTTCTCTACTAATGTTTCTGAAACTGTCTTTAATTTATTATTCTATCTTATCTATTTTTTACAATTATCTGTTATTTGTTCTGTTCTGTTCTCATATACTTTTCATTTACTTATCTCAATATATATCTTGCCTTCTACTTTCTGTAATAGCCAATGCTTGATTAGGATTTTTTTCTTTTTCTTCTTTGATATCTTACTAAGTTGCTGGTTATGCTTTGGTCCATATACAATCTACTCTTTCTTCCTTTTGTCTTTAGATATCTTTGTCTAGTTAGTTATTAGTGCCTGTATGTTGTAGTCTTCAATTTTGTATTAATTGTATATTTCTTTACTTGTCTGTATTATTAACATCTCTTCTTCTATTTTACTAAACTATTTTGCTTTTTTTCTTTTACATGACAGTCCTAGAAGACTTTTGAGCTGTCTTCATATGATTAAGTTCTTTTCTTTTATGTTTATAAGTTGGTTCAAATATATTAAACTCTATTCATTTATTATGCTATTACTAGCTATTTATGATTTAATCCTAACTAAGTTTTTTATACTCATTCTATAACTATGTACTTTCTACAGATAATTTTCTGTTCTAATATTTATTTCTATTTTTCTTGCTTTAATTATTGTTTGACAGGCTAAGTTGTGCTTTCAATACTTTATTTTTTCTAATCTTCTTTTAAAGTCCCAAATATCTTTTATTAAATCTACTTTCTGATACATTTGAGCTATTCTAAGCTTTATTAAATTATCTAGAATGTTTTTTCTATTAAGTCTTGCAAATAAGCTGCTTATTTGCTTTATTGCTATCTCTTAACTTAATGATTTACAGTTTCTTAGATCTTTTTGCTCAATTATGCAATTATTTGTTATTTTCATTATGTTGCATTTATATTTTGCCAAACATATTATTAGCTAATAGATTTTGTCAATCATTTTTTCTAACATTCTTGTTAACTGCAAAAGGTATCCTAATTTTGGAATTATTATTATATTGTTTATATACATGATCTGGTTTATTGTCATTGTTTTATGTCTAAGATCTTTAACTGTTTGGCTAACTATTCCTTTTGCTTTTTTGCAGACTAGTGACTCTCTTATTCTGCTGTTTAGCCAAATTTCTAATGATCTTACAATTTTGTTTTTTTGTTTTTCTGTTATTTTATTTTGTTTGAATATGATTTCTCTATTTTCTTTTTTTAATCTAGAATTCATTACTATGAGCTTTGACTTTGCTCTATTTATTTTAATATCATTTGTTTTAAAAAACTCTTCTGCAATTTCAAGAAGTTTTAGAAGTTAGTTTTTGCTTTTTGCAATCCATATAATATCATCTGTATAAGTAATCATTGCATGTCTATAGTTTATGATACAATTAATGTCTGTATTTTTTAGTGCTTCTTGCTTTACTATATAGCTTAGTGATTTATCTTCTTAAATTCTTTCCAACAGTAGATTATAAAAAAGCCACCATACAAGTGAAGAAATCACCTTTTCTTAATCTATACTATCTTCTGTTATTATTTCTTCTATTAGGCCATAAGCTGTAATCATCTTAAGTTGATGTTTACAGAAGAGATTGATAATATATTTAATTGTTCTTTGTAATACCTTAACTCTTTTAAGAAGCTTTCTAATAGAACTGAGTCAAATGCCTTTTTCTTGTCTTGCAGAAGTATTTATGTTTCTTTGTTTTTCTCTTGTACTTTTTTTATTATCATATTTAGCATATGTATTGGCTGCTCTGTTGAGTTGCCAGGCAAGCCTGCATAATTTGGTCCTTTAAGTATTTCTTTTTTTGTAAATATTTTGGCTAGTCTTCTTGTTACTACCTTTGTAACTAACTTTCTAAAGGTCTCAATTAGTGCTATTGGTCTAATATTGTTCAGATTATATTTCTAGTCTATGTTTTTTGGAATTGGATAAACTTGTGCTATTTTCTACTTTTTTGGCATTTCTTCTGTTTCTAAAACCAGATTTGCAAAGGCTCTAGAGATCTTCTGTAATTTCTCTTCTGCTCATTTTATTAGAGTGTAGCTTATGCCTAAAATTCCTAGAGCTGTATTGGTTTTGAGTTCTCTTAATGTGTTTTTTCATTTCATTTATTTTATTTTTTCTTTTAACTTTTTGTATCAGGACTCCTTAATCCACTTTTTTGAGTTGTATACTTTTATTTGTTCCTTAGGCATCTCTTCTAGTTTGATTCTTCTCTTTCTGAATTGATATCTAAAATGTTTTACCAGACCTTCTAGAACAGCCTTAGGTTTTGTTATTAGACTAGTTTTATCTTCACTTTGGGTTATAAGTCTGTTCAGAATTATCTTTTTATATAGTTTATTTAAAAGACTAGCAATCATTCGTTCTTGATCAGTTTTTATCATCTTGCATCTCCTATTTATAATTTCTTTTATCAGTTTTCTTTGAGCCTATTCTCATTCTTTT